AGCTTCCTGTTACTACTAGTAAGGCACTTGTTACTAGAAGCGATGCAGTTGTTCCTAGTCGCGATGCACTTGTTGCTAGTAGCTTATTGTTTCTATTCTAATAAACTCAATTTCTATTTGAATTCTTGTTTCTACTAGCTTCTTGTTACTACTAATAAGGCACTTGTTACTAGAAGCGATGCACTTGTTCCTAGTAGCTTATTGTTTCTAATGGCTTCTTGTTACTACTAGTAAGGCACTTGTTACTAGAAGCGATGCACTTGTTCCTAGTAGCCTATTGTTTCAAATGGCTTCTTGTTACTACTAGTAAGGCACTTGTTACTAGAAGCGATGCACATGTTCCTAGTAGCTTATTGTTTCTAGTAGCTTCTTGCTACTACTAGTAAGGCACTTGTTACTGGAAGCGATGCACTTGTTCCTAGTAGCTTATTGCTTCAAATAGCTTCTTGTTACTACTAGTAAGGCACTTGTTACTAGAAGCGATGCACTTGTTCCTAGTAGCTGATTGTTTCTAATAGCTTCCTGTTACTACTCGTAAGGCACTTGCTACTAGAAGCGATGCAGTTGTTCCTAGTCGCGATGCACTTGTTCCTAGTAGCTTATTGTTTCTATTCTACTAAACTTAATTTCTAATTGAATTCTTGTTTCTACTAGCTTCTTGTTACTACTAATAAGGCACTTGTTACTAGAAGCGATGCACTTGTTCCTAGTAGCTTATTGTTTCCAATAGCTTCTTGTTGCTACTAGTAAGGCACTTGTTACTAGCAGCTTATTGTTTCTAATAGCTTCCTGTTACTACTAGTAAGGCACTTGTTACTAGAAGCGATGCACTTGTTCCTAGTCGCGATGCACTTGTTCCTAGTAGCTTATTGTTTATATTCTAATTAACTTTATTTCTATTTGAATTCTTGTTTCTACTAGCTTCTTATTACTACTAATCAGGCACTTGTTACTAGAAGCGATCTCTTGTTCCTAGTAGCTTATTGTTTCCAGTGGCTTCTTGTTACTACTAGTAAGGCACTTGTTACTAGAAGCTATGCACTTGTTCCTAGTAGCTTATTGTTTCTAATAGCTTCTTGTTGCTACTAGTAAGGCACTTGTTACTAGAAGCGAGGCACTTGTTACTAGTAGCTTATTGTTTCTAATAGCTTCTTGTTACTACTAGTAAGGCACTTGTTACTAGAAGCGATGCACTTGTTCCTAGTAGCTTATTGTTTCTAATTATTGTTGGAGTGATGTGGAGATTTCAGGTGGATATACGGGTGGAGGAAGGAGCGGTTTGCTTACCAGAATTCTGACCACGTGTTCCTTGACTCGTTGTCGTGTTGGGAGGTCCAGGCACTCAAAACGTCAACCAATATCACTGGTCCTTGGCGGATCTCCATCAAGGCGCTAGTAGGTTGGAGGCCATCGCTACTAGGGTGGAGGCCATTACAACTAGTAGCAAGAAGCTACTAGGAACAAAGGGCATCGCTACTCGGAGCAAGAAGCTACTAGTAGCTCCTGGCCTTACTACTAGGGCCTGGCACCGCTACTAGTAACAAGAAGCTACTAGGCCGTTGGACGGTCGGAACTCCGCGCCTGACCCTCGTGCTCCGGGAGATCTTTGACCGCTGCCTGGCCGTTCCATGGTGTCCTCGTTTGTGGTTTTGAGCTACTTCTGTTTGTTGTAGTGCGGCCAGGAGCCCCTAGTCTGTTTCAGGTACGCTCGTGTTGTTCAAACTCACATGGTCACGAACCAACATGGTTCGAAAGCTTCCTGCGAGCGGGTGGGATTGCCCTGGACCGTGTGAGAAAACACGTGCTGGTTCAGGACCAAGACTGGGTTGGGCGATTGGACACATCATGTCGTACCCATGTTGGAGAAGATTCATTTTCCTTCCAAGGGCCTCTAACGTTCTCTTAATAAGGGCATGTTGACCCTGTCAAGGGGCTATGCACGCAACACCATGGTTCCTCACTGAGGTCGAGCTTGAGGCAATTGACAGCAACAAAAGGTTGATCGTAGAAAGGTAGATGGGCTTTGCCAACAACACATCAGCGATCTGGGATGATCTGGGTGGTGCAAAAGCTGATCATCGGGCGGATCCTCTGTGGCAAGTCTATCGCTTCTTCACAGGAGTTAGCCTGTTGTTCGAGAGGTTCCTACCTGCACTCTGCCCAGCAGAATCTCTTGCTTGGACATGTAGCTAAACATGCAACTCATGGACAGACCGGACCAAACCAAACTCACGAGCTACCAAACCCATAAACACTAACATATGAACCATATATGAACACCTTTCACAACAGTTTCACAAACCTCACCAGACCCAGTCTTCACATCGCCTGCACGCCACGGCGAAGCCAGTTGGCGTCAATGGGCTCTTCCTTCTCCGGTGCCTCTGCGAGGTTCTCCGCTTTGAATTTCATCTCTTCGCCTGGGCGACGGCACCGCTTTTGGACCTAAAGGCCCAGTGCCACCAAAACGGCACGCCACAAAACGACGGACAAAAGGAGGGCGTGCTGCGGCATGCAAGTTCGAAAAAACGTGTGTGTTTCACCTCTTTGACCTGTTTACTTGGAGCTACTAGGAACAAGTGCATCGCTTCTAGTAACAAGTGCCTTACTAGTAGTAACAAGAAGCTAGTAGAAACATTGTTACTACTAGTAAGGCACTTGTTACTAGAAGCGATGCACTTGTTCCTAGCTTTTAGGAAAAAACGTGTGTGTTCACCTCTTTGACCTCTTCGTAAAGAAGTCCGAGCGATCCATGAAAGCATCGCCCCGTGTGCACCCAAGGTGCCGAAGGGTTGCACCTTGCATCTCCAGCGGCCCGTGCTCTCCCGTGCCTGTGAGAGGGTGGGTGGTTGTTCTTATGGATGCTTCGGATATTCTTTTTTGGTCCGGTTTCCTCTACCCCCCAAAATGCCGATCTTGACGTCTGTGTCGGTTCTGACTGGTGACTGATTGGTTCGACCGGAAAAGCTTTGACATGCTTTGAACATCCGATTTTTGGATGGTTGGGGCCATGGGGCCATGATCTGGTGCTTTTCTATGCGCTTCTTCATGTACACCGCTAGCGCACATGCTTGCACCGATGTCCTGACCCGCCGCATGGTGTTCGCAGCATGGTGAAAACCACATGGCGCGCAGCATGGTGTGGAAGCATCGAAGCTCGTCACCCTGGCCATGCATCTGATTGCACTGACCTCTTGGTGCTTGTCCTTCCACACGCGCGGAGGCCACGCCTGGATGGTCACCTGCCAACGGGGTTTCTCACGGGGGGTCTGGGACCTCCCAACTTCCCAAGTCTGCTTCGAAGATAGTGACCTCACCAACTACGTCGAACACCCAAACGTGTGAAGCTGCGAAAACGGCTCGACGACGCCTAATCTTGGCCAAGGTGCCAACGTCCGATACATGAACCTGTGCTTTTCTTGGTCTTGACTGCACATGCGACCTAATGCCAGTAGCACCTTGAAATCAGCAACCGTGGGGGCAGGTTGCAGGCCATCTGATGCCCACGATTTACACGCCTGGATGGCCAAAGTTGAATGTAGCAACATGATGAGGATCCTTGACGCATGACAGGGGGTTGAGTCTTCGATCTTCGAAAGGAAGAACCGCATTTAGCAGACCAAAATGCCGATGAATTACACCCATCAGGGTCCCATCATCGTGCCTCCTGCCCGTTGAGCTCAGGCCTGGCGTGTGCATCCCAAAACTACGTCAGGGACGGTAGATGCTGGGTATCGCAACTTTGACCCAACCAAACTATAGGGCCGCTAGCCGGGGCCTAAAGGGAAAGAAATACATTTTGTCTACCTATAAGGGAATTCCGAGACCGCAACATCTTCAAAAATCACCTGACGAAGCTAAATGTTTGGACCCATTTTTCGAGAAAAACGTACCCTCCCGACTGTGCCTGGACTTCAAGCCCTCCAGCACAGCACGATTCCCCGGGCGAACCCAAGGCCGCGAGGGCTCCGCCATGGAGAGTGGCGATGTGCCGAGTTTGGGGCAAGTTAGCACCTGAAAATCCATATCAAAAACTGCAAAACATAACATATCTTGTGCAAACCTGGTGTCGTTTTCGGGCTTCAGAATAGACTGCCTAACCGTGCAATGTGTTCTTACAGCAGGGGGCTTGCCATTGAGACATGCTGTGAGCGTTCCTTTCGCAGGCTTCAGCCACTGGCGCTGCTTTTGGAACATGGAAGATCGCAACCGTGGCGGATTGCCCATAGGGGGGGTATGCTGCAGCCGGTGTGGATTTCTTTACTTGGTAGCTAGTCAAAACCAGAACTGGTGCAAAACACCAGGCTTGATGAAATGTTGGATGTGCGCCAGGGGCCAATCCAAAAAATATAACCTCAAACGTTTCCCTGCGCCGTGCTACGATCTCTCTTTTTTGTTTCATGCGGTCATTGTCATCCTACACAGCTCCTGTCAATCCCAAATGGCCGGAAGAGCACACAAGCAAGGCTAGCAGGCGAAGAGCCGTGGCATTCAAGCTCCAGGTTAATACCAGGTCATCGTAACATTGGATCTGATCCGTCTTGTGCGTTTTTGATCCTTTTTGCTGGGTAATTAGATTCAACTTTCAACATTTAACGGTGGGTCACTAGGGACTCCTCGTTTTGTTTCCGTTTGTTTCCGATGGGGTGGACCAGGGGTGCAAATTTCCATGAAGTGAAGATTGATTTGGCTGGGAGGTGGGAGTGTGACAGGCTTGAAAGGCCTTACAAGTTACGAAGACAAGGTGTCGCGGATCCCCTTTAAATCTACAAGCCTAAGCTGGTGCAAAACATGCTAACAGAAGTGAGAGGAATGATCAACATTATCAGCACCGTCACCTAGCCCCTGCGATGAAAGGAAGCATTGATGCACCGGTGACCCAGGCATATTTTTCAACCTGCTTTTGAAACAGGGACAAGTTGACACAAAACCTGAGCTGTTCACGCAACGGTCGTCCAGTGATGAATCACCCTGGCGCCTCTGGCCGCCACATCAGTGGCCACCAGCACTGCAGGTCCGGCGGTTGGTAGAACTGCACCTCGGCTTGTTGGAAGTCTGGCCGTTGAGCCAGACATGCCTCGGTTCCGCCTTTTCTGCCAAGCACTGGTCGGATGTCCGTTGCGGACTTCATTGCCATGCCATTTGGACCCCTCAGTCCCTCACTCAGTCACTCGGCCTCTATGAGGAAAAAAAGCTAGTAGGAACAAGTGCATCGCTAGTAGTAACGGGTGCCTTACTAGTAGTAACAAGAAGCTACTAGGAACAAGTGCCACGCTACTAGGAACAAGTGCCTCACTAGTAGTAACAAAACATGTTCGTTCCCTCAGGTCCGGCGCATCGCCATTTTCGTTCTTCGGGCGCTCTCGGTCCGGATCGCGCGCGCTCCCTTTGGGCGCCAGGTTTCCGGGGCAGGGGGATGCGGCGCAGCCAACGGCACGGGTGGGTTCGGATGAACTTGGCCTGCTGAAGAGTGTTGGCCTTCACGTTTGAACCCCCCCAAAGCCATTGAAAAGGGAAGGAAAACAACCAAAAAGGATCCAGGTGGGGAAGAGCAATTTTACTATCATTCATCCGTGCCTAGGTCACTGGCTGCTAGTGACTTCTTCTCAGCCACTCCAGGCCCTGTCAGTCTTGTCAGGCGTCAGGCGCCCTCGGCGACCGTTGAAGTCGAGCGCAAACGAAGGGGGGCACAACGTTGGATGGTGTTCGGTCCTCCATACAGTTGGACGGGGAATCTTCTTCCGGATTGTCCAGGTAAACATGTTGTGAGGAACGTTTGGTCCTTTGTTGGGAGTGAACCCCCTGAGACGGTCAGAAGGAGGCGTTTTCGGAAGATGTTCATTTTCAGCTCGAGGAATCGCTCATTCCAGGCACAGGAACCAAGTGCCAACACAAGTTCCACAGAGTATGAAGCATTATGAAGCAACATTGAAAGGTGTGGAAGTCAGCTTTGATTGGTTGGCCCCACTGAGTAAACTTGAGATCAAGCACTTTCTCCACATAGCTTCATTCATTCCCCATCATCAACTATGCTGCTGGTCAAATCCAAGAATTCTGAGTGCCTTCCAGCTCCTCACGTACAGCTCCAGCACACATAGTCTCATAGTGGATTCAGTTGGATAAATGTTTTCACGAATGCTCCCCCAAGTGCCCCACGTAGTCACCACTTTCAGTCGCAAGTGTTCCTCGCCGTGACCTGGTTCCATCGATTCCTCGAACCGGAGGCGTGGCCCAAACAACTGGAGGCCGAGAGACAAACACATACAAAAGAATCATTCAGGTCCAGTTTTCATACTTCTCTCTTTTTTCCCTTTCAATCGGCACGAGGATCTAGGCCACCACGGAGCCCGCAGAGGCTCACGTCTGTTCTCCCGGTGTCCGGGTGTCCCTCCAACGGCTTGCCACCAGGTCGCAGCTCCTTGGCCCGCCAGTTGCTGACATTTCCTCAGGAAGAACGTAATGAGTGCTTTCTCTCTCTTGGGACCAAGGGAGCGGCTGTGGCTTCCTGAACTCTGACCTCTTAAGCTTCTGGGAATTGCACTGAGACATCGGGGTCAATCTGTAAATTTGCCGTCATGCTTCCATCAATTGCGGGCAATTCCTGCCGTGGTTCGGATTTCACTCCGGCTCGGGCAAACAGACTCATGCCTACGGAGTCTACGGTCCCTCCCCTCCAGCGCATCACGACGCACAGTGTGTGCCCAAGCAGCTTTTGGAATGCATCCCTCTGTGCTTGGCAAGCTTCCAGCTCTTCCTGCGTGAAAGGGTCGCAAACATCAGCTCTTATAGAAACAAAGGTCATCTAGGCCACCAACAAAAAACAACGGTGCATCCCGTGTAGGGTGTGCTTCTCAGCAAGATGCCCCCATGATGGCCGCCTTACGGAACCTCATGGTGTGGGCGTGCGTTGGGTTTAACGATATATTTAAGCTTACTAAAGCCGTTTTCAAGCGGTGCTTCCCTTCGATGACACCGCAGGAACGATAGGAGCTCGATCGACGCCTGCAGCTTGCCGATGGCTTGCAAGGCCAGCTCGAATCGTTGTGCCATCTGCGTTTGCGCATCGCCTCCCGCCACGGAGAGTTCCGTTGACTCGGTGGGGGCCGAAGCGGAATGATTTGAGGACATGAAGTCGAGGTAAGCTGCATGGTGTTGAGAGTAAGGGTGAAGCCAAGAGGAAACCACCACTGGAGGAGTTTTGAGAAATCCTCTGCAACACGGTTGGTGATTTCACTTGTGGATCACTTGTACAAGACCCCCGACGATGTGAGCAGCCCGTTGGAAGCACGCCGCACCCTCAGCCGCCGTTCGACCTGTCAACCCGCAGAGCTAAAAACGTTTGGTGCCTGCACGTTGCGCTTCGACGCGTTTTTGCAGCTTGAGCACTTCCTGGCACGGCCAGCGCTGCATCATGGAGGTTTGACCCACAAACATCTAAGTCGTGAGGCAGGTGAAGGGCGTTTTTTCCCTGCGAAATTGAATCATGGATTGATGCAGGAAATTGAGACCGGAGTTGTGAGGCACCACACTTCAGAATCAAAACCCGCTGGCTGACACGACACCTGTTTTGGCCCTCAACCACATAAAATCCATTCCCTTTTCTTGAAAAATAGACCCTTGAACATCATGCAAGAGATCCAAAGAGTCCCCGTCGCCTGGACAGAACAATGATCGAAAAGAGATTCTCCCCACAAAACTGTTGTGCTTGCAGCTAGGGCGGCACTTACTTTATATCCACACACAGCCAGTCGTCCTGCTGCAAGTTGTCCCGCTGCTGGGTCACTGCACTGACCTGGCGGCTCAACATCTGCACAGCTGAGCTCTTCACACGCCATGCAGGCAGTTGACCCGTCACCCACCGTGGGGCTGGTGGCGCAACGCTTTCGCCCAAGCGGACGAGGCTGTGCCAGCAACCACCTGATCCGAAGAGGTGCCAGTTCCGCTCTCCCGCCTGCATCCGGAGCTGCAGCTCCGACTCTTTGACACCACCTCACGGCGTTCCCACCGCGCGAAAAAGCCCAACGTGACTGAGACGGAGCCGGGGTGGGCGAGCGGACAAAAGCCTCCAACGGTTGGACATGAGCATCTTGGACACATGAAGAAGGATGAACAAATCAACTATAGTGAAGTAAACACGCACCTTTAGGCCCAAAGAACGTGTCATTTATCAGCAATGATCTCCCTGAGCAGATGGCGCCGGGGGGGGTTTGAAATAGATTTTTTCGTGCGAACTTCGGGTCGATCTTCCTCTTGAGGCTACACCTCCCGGAATCCGTGTAAGACCGACTTAGGAGCTCGTCAGAGAAAAACAGGGCAATTGCGCCACTTGCGCCTGGTGTCCGAACAAACATCGCAGTGACATTGGTCGAGGGGCCTCTTAACTCCATAATTCTAACCCTTGACCAATGATAACTTCCTGCACCAAAGGATGTCGCACTACTGCCTGGTGCTGGATTTGAACGCACTCCATTCCAGGGGTGGAGTGAATTGAGATGGCTACTCCGCCCTCAAATCACCGTGTGACCAGAACATTGATGTGAAAAAAAGCCAGTTCCCAACATTTCCTCAATCATCACGGCGCCTGTGGTGGAGCTTTGTAGCTTTTCCACCTGGAGCGACCCAGAGAGGTGTGGGTTAACGTCGGCTCAGCACCTATAGTTAAAACGAACTGAATAGATCATAGTAGACCGGGGCGACGTGAATTGCGTAGCCTCATCTAAATTCAGTGTTTTGCCTATTTATAGCTTCTGATGGTTCCACTTCTTTCGACATGGTTTATGAGGTGCGCTGATCCCCCTTACGAAAAACCCAACCACGTGCCACATGCAGCAAATCCTGCACACCTCCCAGTCACCCTTCATCAGAAGCGCTCGCTGCCCTCTGTCAATACCGCTCCCACACCCCCGGACTTCTCCGTGCCGCGCGGCGCTGCGCGCCTGCTGTTGCAAGTCCTGCTGCCGTTGCTCCAGCGATCTCCGTCGGGCGCTCTCCAGTTTCAGCTCGCCTCGCGGCGCTCGAAAAGGTGGAGACCGGCATAAGACCCGAATCCTTGAGGTGAACGAGTTCTGAATGCACCTGTTTCACAAAGCTATCAACAAGTTCTTGAGTTCCTTCCACCAACTCGTCCTATCGTCCTATCCTCCGGTCCCCCAACTTGCCGTTCTGCTTTCTACCCCGCCTTCCGCGGCCTCGCGGCTGCGGTCGGCGGCCTCTCTGGCACTGTCCACCTGGAGCGAAAAGCGGCACACACATCGGTCGTTGGAGTGCTCCGTTTCAAGGACACATCGGGCCTTTCACCACTCTCGGGAGCCCTAAAGCGAGCGATGTGTATTTTTTGTGTATCATTTTTTTGTTTTCCTGTGTTGACGGTCAGTTTGAGATCCATCTCATTTCGCAGCACAAGTCCACACTGACCCCAGTGCTGCTGAGAGGCTTCAGCCATCTCCTTTCCTCAGATCTTCCAAGGGGCCATCGTGTTGGGAGAACTTCTAAGTTATTTAGGTTTTCTACCGGCCTTCTGAGGATGCAGTCCTTGTCAAGTAGATAGTATATAACTACGGAACAGTCCAAACTCAAGAGAGAAAGCATTTGTCTTGAACTCTCTGACACGCCACCCTCCATGAGTGCACACAAACTAGAAAAGGCTGGTGATCGGTTTCCCTGCCATGTTGCTACAGCTTCAGGGGTTGATTTGTTATTTGGAGGGCCGCCCGCAAATGACCTAGGACATCCCACAAGACCTATAGATTCGCATCTCAAGGGTTGTGAAGAATGACCTCGGAGGTGTTCAAAGCATGATCGGGGCAGCGCTGTTGCGCTGTCTGTTCTCCCCACTGCAAATTAGGGAGATCTGCTTGGATATTTACTACCCTTGCAGGGCTCTGGTCAATCAATCCCAGTTCAACGACAGCCGCTGATTAACTGGACAGATTGATGGATTATCTGGGTTGCCCAAAAAAGCGCTGCACAAAAATCAGGTTCGTTTCTTGGGACTGCAAGCTAGCCTCCAGGCGCCCTCCCCCACCAATTCCTTGTGAA